GAGAGAGAGAGAGGGGGGGGAGGAAGGGATGGGTAATCGTGTCTCCGTAAAATTAAATCTCAAACTTTGTGATTCTATTGAAGTAAAAATGTTCTCTCCGAAGCTAAGTTCATGGTTTTTAATAATTAACTTTTAACATTTAGAAAAATTGATTTCGATCGATCAAAGATTTCGTAACGAGAAAGAGAGAAAGGAAGAAATATTTTGATACACCATGCATCTTATGTAAATTACGATACAGCAACAAAGCAGGCTGTGTTTATGTAATTCGGTGCGTATGGTCGGAAATTATTGATCTTACTCTGGAGCATATCTCGGACAGATTCATTATCGGACTTTATGTATACCGATAAGCTCGTTAAGTTTAATAAACGCAAAATAGATGAGGGATAATGAAAGAGATGGTCGACAAAAATTATGTCTCCGTCTGGCAAAAAGGTTGAATTATCCGGTGATAGCGCCCTTAACCGGCCATTTACCGTTGCGTTCGCTGCATTCATAATTACTCGTTAGCTCCGGTTAAATTTCACGGAGGAAATTTTCTATGGAGAGAAAAGCTCTTCGCTCGTCGCGTTAAAACTCGACGATCGATTAGCGGGTGATCGAATCTGTTTTCTCACGCGAGGCTTTTTTTTCTTTTTATTATCTCATCCCTTTAATTCGTGGGGGCATCCCGCGAATCCGGAGAGAACCGTTATGCGCTTATCGTTGCGGAAACTCCCGAATCTCTCGAGTCGTTCCGCGTTTCACGCCATCTCAGCTCAATTCAGCTTTCTTCCCGCAGACAGTTCCCGCTGATTGCGGCTGGATGCGATCGCGGCGGGCTGGTACGCAATTAATCAGCCCGTAAATGACGCCCCCGCGCGGGGGTTGTCGGACGAGACGACGCCGTGGCATCGGGCCTTAATTATACAGCCTGTTTGCAGCGGGCGCAAACGACGAGAGACGTCTCTGTTTCCCCGCCGCAACAAATTGCCCCGTAATTATTCCGCGGCTGTCGGAAAAGTCGGGCCGCGTTTTGGTAAAAGTCCCGACGTTAAACGAAGCTGGATAGTTTAGATCAACGCAACCGCAATTCTCTTTACAGCGAGCTAAAAAAAAAAATAGAATGATTCTCGAGTTATCTCATTTTTGTTTAAGCGGCATTTGCACGGCATTCCGTGCTCATTATTCTACTCGCGTTTTCAGAAGAGCGTTATAAATTATCCTGGAAATACATCGTTGTAGGTCAACGAAAGTCCGTCTGCTTTGCAGATTGTGGGAGCGAATCCATCCTTATCCGGCGGCGCGATTATATTCCCCGATATCAATTCGGGATTCCGGTGATTGGGTCGGACCATTATCCGCAACGTTGTTGTAACAGACAGATCTACAACGGCGAGAGTTCGAAAAGGATTTGAGTGACGTGTCGGTAAATGCTCTTAACCGCATAAGTGAACGCCGAGTAATATTAATTTTTAAGGAAATTTACCTTAAATCCGCGATGCATACGCAGTGAATGCGGCGGTTTAACGAGCAGGTTGTGAAGCGAATTTAACGATCGGGATGTAGTAAATCCCCACGAATTTTATTTCACAATTTAATGATGCAAATATTCGTAGAGACGAGGAAAGTGAGGCCGCGCCGTGCGCGTGTAAATGGCGCGTTGTAATAAATTTCCAATATATAATCCAATTAATAATTGCAATGAAATTATATATTACAATGACGAGCGTTCATTTAATAATCATCAGGAAACCACGAAGAGACGATGATTACTCTTTTATCATCGTAAAATTATTGCGTAATTTCGTTTACCCGAATGTATCAATTAATGGACTTTATTAGACCATAACAATGCACGGACATCTCTGCGGCGATGGAAGTGGAGGACGTGAGGGAGAAAGGGGGAGGGGAGAGGGGGAGCGCGAGGGCGAGAGGGCAGACTCCTCTCCGGTTTTCGGACAGATTATCATAGGGCTTATTGTTCGTTCCCTTTTCCGCCGGCATTCGCGAGAACGGAGGCGCTCCATTATCAGTTTTTCGTGCGTTATGCCCGGATGCGACCTTAATTACCTTCCCTTATACCCGTGGCTTATTACGTTCTTCGAGTATAATATAACGCAGCTCGATAATCCCGCTCGCCGTGGACTTAACAGTATCGGCCGAATTACGGTGCGTGAAGCACGGATAAGCGCGCGGGCCTCCCCGGCATTGTGTATCGCGTTTCTCCTCTCGGGCTACAACGGTGGACCATAAATACAGTTTAAGTTATGGCAACTACCGCGTGCTATATCTCGGTTAAGTTTATTTCGACCCTGATTAATGTAGGATTGCCGGCGTGCACGCCGCGCGCGCGTTTGTGGCCGCCCTCTCGAGAACGGCCTTCCTGGAGCGAGTATCGAGATTTCGAGGCCGCGAAGGGATGATTTCACCGGCGGGGATTTTGGATTTTTTTCTTCTTTTTTTTTTGGACGTCACGATATTTGTATTTCCGTATTTCGATTGACGGCGCGTCCGAAGATGCAGTTCCCTTCGCAGTCCGCGTAGGGATTTTCGTCCGGGATGATTTTTCGTCGCGCGTGGATCCGCTCGGACGCTTTAAACGCGAGCTAAACGAAAGAACAGCTCGCCCTCATTCTCCTAGAGTTCGGCTGAAACTCGCGCGCGCACAGGATAACCGGCGCGCTTGTCGTAAATCGATACGTCAGGTGTGAATTGCGACGCGTCGCAGCGTCGTGGCGGCGGCGGCGACGGCGACGGCGGCGGCGACGGTGGTGGTGGTGGTGGTGGTGGTGGTGTGGCGGCTTTTATTTTTAATAGCGGCCCATGTTCGCGTGCGTGTTTACGGAGCGGAAGCGCTAAATTCGCGCGATAAGCACGCTATTCGCGTTAACATGCCTATCGATTGCCCGGTCCGCGTGAGACGGCAGAAACGGCCTTAGGCGGTAAGATGAGAAAAAACGAGGCGATAACAGAAGCCTCGAGAGATGGAAGAAGGATCGGGGATAAACGCGAGAGGACGGACGGCCGGAGCGGCAATAGGTGCAATGGGTCATCGCAGGCCGGCCCACGCGGGGTAAGAAGGGGGAGACCAGCCGGAGATTCGACGGGCGAGGGAAGGAGGGAGGGGAGGGAAGGGGGACTGCGAGGCAGTTCAATGAAAGTCATCGTAAACGGAAGGGGAGCGGAACTGCGAAACGGGGCATACAGAGGGATCGGAGAGAGTACGGGACGGAGGGTAGAGAACGGGAGAGCGTTCCGCCATGCCGACGTCGTGGGAGAAAGACAGCGGGAAAGAGAACGCCAGAGAGCTTGCGCAAGCTTCGACCCGCCGCAGCTCCGATCGGCGGACGGCGGTTAAGCCAGCCGCACGTTCCGAGTTTTCGTGCCAGCAGTCGACTCGCAGCCTGGCTTTCCAACTGGCACGCCGGAGTGCTTTCTCGTACTGTGCCCTCTTCGGTTCCCTCGTCTCACGTCTCCCTCTCCTCTTCATCCTCGCGGTTTCTCCTACCCCTTCGTAGTCTCTGTGCATGTCTCTTTCTCTCGCTCGTTCTCTGTCTCTCTCTTTCGCTTCTCTTCTCTTCTCTCTCTCTCTCTCTCTCTCTCTTCTCTCTCTCTCTCTCTCTCTCTCTCTCTCTCTCTCTCTCTCTCTCCCTCTATCTCTTTCTCTTTAACACCGACTCTTGATTCCGTTCTTCGTGATGTGACGCGTTGATGGTCTACGCGCTGCATCCAGCAACGACGGCAGTGCTCGATCCGGACTGAAACCACCACCGTCACCGGTGGTGGTCCACCACGAGAGATACTAATCCCGAGCAGCGTCCTCGAACGGAGGGTCCTTCGGAACTTTATGTGCGTCAGTGCGCGATTAAGAATCGCGAGGGAAATTGTGCTGGACGACGTCGTGGTCGATACGTCGAGGTCGACGACGATGATATAAATTCCAGCACGCGAACGACTCGCTCGAAAGCTTTGTTCTGATGAGAGAGAAGATGGTATATTCGAGGAAATCCGCGTGGAGGATATCGCGTCGGTGATTTCGATCGGCAGCGAGAATCAACTCTCCGAAGATCGTCGGAGAAATCTGCAGTCAGGGAGCATGAGAATGCTATGGTAAAGGTGCGTGCATGTTCTATTGTCGCATAATAATTAAATTATTCTCTTTATTCTCAAGAAGATAATCTCTATTATTTTTAATTTGTAGTGATTTAGCCAAGTTTAAAAATTGCATTTTTTTATTATCTGAATCTCGAGACTTATTTTAATAAAGAATAAATGTATTTTGGTTAAATAAATTTTTTCTTCCCTTTTCGTTTCCTATTTCGGAGCCCTTTCTGGAACTGTCAGTGCAATCGCGATGCGATCAAATCGTCGTTGCGGAAATCGCGACCTGCATATCGCATCGTTGCGTATGCATCTCGCGCACTGAAGCGCGCGTTTCCGGCGTCGGGACGATAATACGAAATAATCACGGTCGTTGTCGAAAATGTCGGTAAATCGGGAAAAACAATCGCACGACGATTCCGCGAGATCGTTGATCCAGTTTCCGAATCCCTCTCGTGCCTCTTCGCTTGTTTTGCCTCTATCAAAACGCGCGCCCGCGAACGCATCCCTCTATGCACGCGCGTAATCAACGAGCGATCTAAATTGCTGATGCGCTAACCGCACCGAACTCAGTTCACTCGACATTTTCGGCACGCGCCTGCCTTTATTCGATTCGCGTACGCCGACGGAATCTGAAAATCCGCGAGTGCATCGATCGTAGACGAAGGACCCGACATGGACGCGACAAATTTGTTGAAAAAAGAAGAAAAAGGAAACAAAAAATTTTCGCGACCTTGGCCATTTTGTAACCTCGAATCTTCGCTATTCGGAATTCTGGAGGTCTCTGAATCTTTAAATGTCGTCGGAGCCGCCGTGCCGCACGATCTGAATCAGAGCGGTCGCGTGTTCCGGAAAAGAAAAAAAATATTAAATTCCCCGAGAGACGAGACAATGAATGCGACGCGAGAATGCGAGAGACGCGGGGGAGGAAAGCGGTGATGAATGAAAAGGGAAGGAGGGAAAAAATTCCGGAGGTGAAGTACTGTTGTCGATAGCGGAGTCAACGCGGATTTAACCAATTATCACCCCGCTCTCTCGACGTGGACGTACGAACGAGGCCCTTCCGGCATACGCTCGACCCATCTGGCAAACCATGCGACGTCCCTTATTGTCCTTTGGGGAAATGATAACGCGATGTCCGCACACTTGCGCCTGCATCCCATCAAGTGGCTCACGTTATAAAGATACTTCGCTCCCGGATAATGAATAATGTAATCGCGTACAAGACTGAATTGGAAATTTCCTCGATTTCTTGCTCCTTTCGACGACTAATCGTCACATTTTTACGGAAGATTAATATTGAGGTAAAAAAATAAAGAATCGAATTAACTGATACGTTTCTCCTGATGTACTTCGCGACATGAAAAAAAAAAAGCAATGACGGAGGATACTTTTTGCGCATAAAATTATATATACATATGTACATACATATATATTTTTTTTTGGAAGGATTTTGCGGACACTCGGTGTTCAATATCTTCTTCCGATGCACAGGACGGATTAGTGAACGATATTACATGTACGAGTGCACGCATACGTGTGTTATGTGTATTTTTTTTGTTTGTATGTGTATTTTTTTTGTTACGCGTGTGTGTGTGTGTGCAGGTAATTCTCGGCAGGAGGGGCAAATGGAGATAAGAGGAGAGAAAGCGGAGGTATTTTGACAGCCTCGGCACTTGTCCCGGGAATGCCTCGAATGCCTGTGCCGGTACTCCTCGGTAGCTGGGGCTGGGGATTTTTCGCCATATTCCTCCTGCTTCTGGCCACCCCCAGTCCCGCTGCCATTCGCAGAGGTAAGTCTAATCCGGGGGTCTGTGCGAGGGATCGCGAGGGTGGGACGCTATATAATTCCGACGAGAGTTCAAATTTCCAGGCCAGCGACACGCGAGAACGATCTCGGTACTTATTTGCCGGCGAACGGCAATCCAACACCGCGATCGTTTCCAGCAATCTTGCACTATCCATCTAATCAGCAGTTCTCTGTTCTAGCGATCTGATAAGAATCATGCGACTCGTCTTTCGAGACATTCAAGCTAAGTGACGAGAGAGAGAGAGAGAGAGAGAGAGAGAGAGAGAGAGAGAGAGAGAGAGAGAGAGAGAGAGAGAAGAAGAAGAAGAA